GTCTCTCCCGACCCTCCCGTCTCCCCCCACTCTGCGCCCTCCCCGCCCCGCCCCGCTCCCCCCCACACCCCGCGGCCTAGCGCGGCCTAGAGCGCGGGCCCGGATGGATACACGTTGAGGCGCTGCCCCATGTCCTGCAGCAGGTTGGCCGCCTGCTGGCGGTACGAGAGCTCCTTGTCCGGGTCGAGCCCGGCGCGGCGGGAGGGGCTGCGCTCCAGCTGCTCGCGGCTGAAGTACCAGCGGCGCCCGGGCCCGGCGCCGCCGCCGCCGCCGCCCGCCGAGGCCTCCATGGCGGCTCTGCGCCCGCGCGGGGGACGCGGCGGCGTGCGCACGCAACGCGGTGACGTCACAGCGCCGGAGGGGCGGAGCGGGAGCGGCCGTTGGGGAGCGCGCGTGTTCCGGGGGGAGGGGGCGGGGCTTGATGGTGGGCACGCCCACCCCCCTGTGGGGCTACGGCCGTGGACGGACAGGCCACGCCCACACCGGAAGCCCGAGGGGGCTCCGGTTTTAGGGGGGGTCTCGCAGCCCCCCCCCAACAGCTTCTCACCGCCCCCTTACCGGCACCCTTGTGTGTCACCCCTCCGGGACTACGGGACCCCTTCCTTACCAGGACCCCCTAGCACTGGGACCCCCGTGTTCCCACCCGCGGGACACCGGGACCCGCCTCTCAGATCCCTGATATGACCCCCACCCCAGGACATGGGGACCCCCCCCAACTCCGATTTTACCGCCTGTGCCCCCCCCACCAGCCTCTCAGCCCCCCTTTACCCGGACTCCCCCTCACTGGGACCCCCGTGTGTCCCCCCCTTGACCCCACAGACCAGGCCACAGCTCGTATCCAAAGTGTTTTATATATAATTTATCTGTACACACGAAGGACAAAGTACCTCAGGTCTGCGCTGGGATGAGGGGGCGACGCTGCCCCCCACACACCCTTCCCCCCGGGCTGAGCCCCCCACCCCCCCGCCCTCAAAACCGCTTCAAAAAAAAAAAAAAAAAAAAAAAAAAACAAACCGGAAAAAAAATTAAAATTAAAAGAAAAAAAAAAAAAAGTCACTTCATTAGTTTTTTTGCATTTAAAAGGAGGAAGGGGGCTGCCCCCCCCTCCTCCTCCCCGCTGCAGCCCCCCCCAGAGGGAGCTGGGACCCCCGGGGGGGTGGGGGGGCTGCGGAGGTGCTGGGCCTGCGACCCTCCCAACCCCCCCCCCCGCAGGCGGCACTTCAATTTGGCACATGGAGGGGGCTGGGGACACCCCCACCCTCAACCCCCCCCCAAAACCTTCCCTTGGGGGGGCCCCATCTCCCCTCTTTGGCACATGGAGGGGTTTCGGCAAAGGAAGGGGGGGGGTGGGTTCACCCTGCCCTGACCCCCCCACCACCAAAATAAAACACCCCGGTGCAGGCCTGGGAAACACCCCCCCAAAACACCACCTTGGGGTGGGGGGGGAGCACAGAGGGGTCTCACCGCCCCCCCCTCCAACCACCTCCCTTGTGTCCGTTTCTCCCTTTTTTTTTCTTTTTTTTTTTTTTTAATACGTGGATTTGGGGATTTTTCTCTTTTTTTTCCCTCGCCTGGCCCCAGCACAGGCTGAGGGAGCCCCCCGGAGGGGGGGGGGGGTTGAGGGGGGCACCATGAGGACCCCCCCTAACTGCCCCCAGGGCCGGCGTTGAGGAAGTAGGTGGTCATTTCCCCCTTGCCCTTGACCTTGACCAGCCCCCGGCACTCCAGCACGTAGCCCTTGGCCGCCAGCACCTGGTACAGGTCCGTTGTCACCTGGGGGGGGGACACGGGGGTGAGGGGGGGTGTGGGGGTCCCTGGGGGGTGGTCCTGTCCCCCTCCCACCCCCCCGGCTGACCTGGATGCGGTCGGGGACCCCCGTGCTGTCCATGCGGCTCGAGACGTTGACGGTGTTGCCCCAAATGTCGTACTGGGGCTTGCGAGCCCCGATGACCCCCGCGACCACCGGGCCCATGTTCAGGCCTGGGGGGCACACGGAGGAGGGTCAGGGAACACCCCCCACACACCCACGGGGATGGGGGGGGGTGGGATGGGAAAAGGGGGTGGGAAAAGGGAAAGGAGGGGTGAGAAGGGGAAGGAAGGGGCGAGGGGGGAAAGGAGGTGGGAAAAGGGGGAAAGGGGTGGGAAAAGGGGGAAAGGTGGGGTGAGAGGAGAAAAGAGGGTGGGAAAAGGGGCGAGGGGGGAAAAGAGGGTGGGAAAAGGGATGAGGGAGTGGGAAAAGGGGAAAAGTGGGGACGGGACAGGAAAAGGGGGTGGGAAAAGGGATGAGGGAGTGGGAAAAGGGGAAAAGTGGGGACGGGACAGGAAAAGGGGGTGGGAAAAAGGATGAGGGGATGAGAAAAGGGATAAAGGGGTGGGAAAAGGGGAAAAGGGGGGATGAGAAGGGAAAAGGGATGGGCAAAGGGAAAAGGGGGAGGGAAAAGGGCGAAGAGGGGAAGAGCCACCAGACACAAAGCCATGAACCACGGCCGGGGGGGGGGGG